ATCTCCGGAGAAGGGGATGTGCTTTCCTGCGGCCAGCTCCGGGGAAGGGGATACACTCTGGTCGAGTCAGCTCTGAGCGAGGAGATGCGTTCTCGGGTCACCTCTGCGGACGGGGCAGGTCACCGTCTGGTCATCTGGGGGAGATGGGGCGCTACCGTCCGGTCATCTGGGGGAGATGGTGCGTTACCGTCCGGTCGTCTGGGGGAGATGGGGCGCTACCGTCCGGTCATCTAGGGGGGGATGGGGCACCACCGTCCGGCAATCAGCACGGCTGCGTTGTTAGGGCTGCGTCCGACCGACCACGACGTGCTCCGCACCGAGACGCCGCGGAGGGGCTGTCCCGTGATGGAGAAGCCCGGCTGCCCTGTCCCTGCGCTGTGCGGACCGTGGGATGCCCGGCCTGGCCGGGGGACCAGCAGCATTCCCCACTGATTAACGTCGGGCTCAGGGCCTTCCAGGTCTCTCCGCTATGCAGGCGAGGTGCGAACAAGCCGAGCAAGTGACGTGGGCTCAGAGTGACGCGATCGGCGGGAATGCTTCACACCGAGTCGCTAGCGTGCAAACAGCGAGAAGGCGAGCCACACCTTGGCATTCCTGGGCCGGCTGTGCAATCCCGCCGCAAGGATTAGCGTCGCCGCGCCGAAGGCGAAGAGTGAACAACCTGGCTGGGGAGCGCCGGGCATTAGCGGCAGAGTGTCAGGTGTCAGTGATGGAACGGGTAGTCTCGGTAGAGGGAGAGTCAGTCGCATCCGTGGAAGTACCCGGGATCAGTGAATGCTGTGATGTCGCGTGCGCGTTCGCTGAATTCTCCGAACTCGTACGCCGGCATATTTGTTGGCCGAAGCCCGAGCTACCTCCTGTACTCGTGAAAACGCCGCCCGCTGGAATCGCCGCCGTGTGACGGGCCTGCAGCGTCGAGCCGCGGTGTGTGCCTCCGCACCGCCGCCGGGGGTCGGACAGACCCTGCCCTGAGCCCGGTGCCCCGCGGGCCCGGGCTGGGTGGGCCACCGGGCGGAGCCCGTGGTCCGCCCACGGCCGGCCGGCATGCCGCCCGTCCGTGGAGACGCATCGCATGCTTATAATGGCCGGTTTTTATTTCCGGATTGCAGCCGACTATCATTGGGAGGCAGTATGCGTGTCATGCAGATCTGCCGCTGCTTCAAGGCCAGCGCCCTCCATTGTTGGCGAACGCTGCGTTGCGGTGCAGTGGCGCGCTTTTTTCGGCGCGAAACGCGCTGGGACCTTGAGCGCCGGAACAATGCCGATTTGCGGACGGGCGTGCGGCGAAGTCGGCGCCGTCCTGGGCCGCCCATTGTGGGCCGCAGGACGGGGACCCGGCTGACGGACCGGCGTCATCTGCTGACGCCAGCGGCGCGCGAGGTGTGTCGGCCCCGGCCAGCCGGTCGGCTCCGGGTGTCACCTCCACGCGCTTCCCGACCAAACGAGCTCGTTTGGTTTGTCAGGCAGTTTTCTGATTTAAAAAGGGTGCAGGAGGGTTCAGTGGCTGGCGCTGGGTGCCGTAAGATATGGCGACGGCGCGGAAGTGGGTTACTCGGCCGCCACGTGACGTGTCTCGCGTCGGTGACAGTGCTCTCAAGACTCGTCCATCGAGGCTCGGTGCCCCGGCGGACCGGCGGCGGTGGCGCCTCGGCCTGGGGGGCGCAGGTGCGCCAGATGCCGACGGCAGCGGCGTGGCACGTTACGAGCAAACGGACCAGTCGGCTCCGCGCGGAAATAAATGAGATGAACTTTCAAAATTCGGGATGGAGGGTGTGCCGCAGGCCCTGTGCTTCGCTGGGAGGGGTATTGGTGTAAGTGCGGTACAAAAGGCATCAAACGTCGCTTGTTCCCTTGTAATGATACTCTTATGATATGTGATAATACTAAATGTCATGACAACCTGTAGTACCAATCTCTTGAGATTGTAATAGTAAAGTAATATTGCAGTAATTTTTCCTCTATTCAAAGCAAGTGTGTCGCGAAGCTATCGCAGTTAAATATATCCGTAGAGAGCTTTCCTGTCAATATTATTGTGACGACATTTTACGCTTACAATATGAAACATCAGAAACAAAACAGACTACGAGCAGAGCGGAGCAGGCTATATGACCGCGAAGTCGAAGCGCCCTAAAGCCCCCCCCCCCCCCTTCCGAATACGAGCAGAGCAAAATAATGGTCATCGACGAAACGACTGGAAGCTTACGCTTCAGGTAGCAACCGGCTCAGGCAGCTCAGCGGGGGTCAGTCATGAACCTTGACCATAATGTAGGAAAGACCGCGGCTGCAAAGTAAACTGGTTTTCGAGAGTGATTCGTTTTGGTAACGGCAGACACCAAATTTTTCCCACGATGACAAACGCAAGGAGTTAGGCTACCATTTCCACCACCGTTTCAAAATTTCATTTACTTCGCATAACTAGCCGAATACAATTCGTCAAACTCCGCTATGGCGCTCTTCCATAAGTACCTCAAGAAACGCCCACATAAAAACTTGCTATTAGCTCTGCTCTAGACAGGTTGAGTATTCTTCGTTTAAGTTGCGCGGTACTTTCACGAAGTTCTCAGCCGGCGCCGAACTTTCTGCCTGAGTGTGCCCGCAGCCGACCTAATCGGTGTCATTCGGCATGCCGGTCGGCCCTGCGCCAAGTACTGCCGCGCGGCGCCACTTGTGTCGCGCCTCCCAACTTCGTCGCGCCGCCTTTCATGCAACGGGAAACACCTGGCTTGTAGTGGGGTGGCGTCGCGCTGCCGGGCCTCGGGCGGCGGCAATCAGCATTAAAGGTCGTTAGTGCGTGTTGTGTCACGGCGAGGCCTCCCGCTCGAGCCGCGCGCCGTGCGCCGTGGCGCTTGAAAGCGTGCGCTCGAAAACGTGAGAGCACTTTGGCCGGAGGCGTTGCTGGAGGCTCGGGCTTACATGGAAGGCCTCCGACCTCCCCGCGGGCGGGCAGCGCATCAAGAGGCAGCGGGGAGTCTCCGGCACTCGATGCTCCGGTTTACGACACCGAGTACCCGGATCAGCATTGTCTCGGCGCGGCCCGGCATGGCTTCGCCCCCCTGGCGGTCGAACGCCGGAGGGTGGCGGCCCGGCGCGTGGTCAGCGTTGCCCCCGGCGGGCGAACGGCACGGACGGCACTCTTCGGCGATCTGTTTACCCGCCGCCGGCACTGCTGACCACGCCGCTGCTTTGATGTCCGAAATTGGCTGCACCTGTTGCCGCGCCGCCTCTCCCGCGCCTGCAGCGCCGCCACGCCGGGATCGCCGCCGCAGCCGCCGCGCCAGCGCTCGCCGACGAGGTGAAAGGCGCGATTTCAGTCGATCCGAATGAGGAAAGTTACGGCCGGTCATTTATTCTCATCGGCTTTTTTGTCGTCAATTGCGACCGTGCCGGCCGAGTTTAATGATTCCATCGATCGGCTGGCGCCAAAAAGTGCGCGCGAACTTTGTGGGCCTGTGGGTGTATGCTAAATGCAGGCACTCGGTTCGCTCCCCTACCCCCACCCGTTCCGTGTATTTGATAGGCAGAGAGACGGCTATTCGAAGTCCACCACCTGAATGGCGCCGGCGCTGTGCAATTCCGAAAGGATCGAATCATCCGAAGCCGCCGGTCTGGCAGCCTTTACAGACAATTTGAATTGCAAAGTGGTCTGCAAGTTAAATGAGACAACTTTTCAGGGAATTTAACTTCTCGCATTTGTCTTCTGCACGGAGTCCGGCCGTGTACCTGACCTGACTCAATTACGACGCAGAGGCGCGCAACATGCTGCCGCGTTGCAGCGAGCTGGCCGGGCCGCTGCCAAGCAAGACGGCGCTCCGCCCGCACTAAAACACCGCAACAGTTGGTAGGGCGCTGAGGACTCGGCCGTACTTCAGCGTGGGGCGAACAAGACCACGGAAGGAGACGGCAGGTGCCCAGGAGAGCGGGGGATGGGGGCGCGCGCGGATGTAACCACCGGACACACCGACACATTGTGGGACACGCGCTGACCCATGGCGTGGTCTCCGCCTCGGGCCGACGTGGGCGGTCTTTGGCCAGGTTTCGTCAGGCGCGGCCCGGTGTGCGCCGGCGCGGGCGGCCGGTCTCCAGCCGCCTGAGCTGGGCAGATTGCACGGCTGAGCAGGGCGCCGCGCCGTGCGCCGACGCCAGCGCCCGCCCAGATGGCCGCTTTGCGCCCGCCCGCGCGCGAATTAAACCATCGCCGAGCCAGGTTATGCATACAAACTGTCGGCGGCGCGGTCGCTCGCCAGCGCAGCGAGTGGAGGCGAGGCCCTGGCGGCGACCTGGCCGACCGCACCGTGGCTTACAGTGGCTGCTTGATGGAGGGCGGAGGCCGTCCATCCGAGCAGAGCAGTGGGCGTCCCGGTCGGAAGATGGTGTGCAGCTGTTCCTTGGATATGAAGGCCCGGACGGATGTTGGCTGCAGGCCCAAGCTGGCGAGCAGGGTTGGCAAAGGAAGGCCCCCAGCTGCGAGCAGGGTTGGCAAGGGAACGCCCCCAGCTGGCGAGCAGGGTTGGCAAGGGAACGCCCCCAGCTGGCGAGCAGGGTTGGCAGGGGAACGCCCCCAGCTGGCGAGCAGGGTTGGCAAGGGGAACGCCCCAGCTGGCGAGGCAGGGTTGGCAAGGGAACGCCCCAAGCTGCGGTTGCAAGGACCCCCAGCTGGCGACAGGGTGGCAGGAACGCCCCCAGCTGGCGAGCGGGGTTGACAAGGGAACGCCCCCAGCTGCGAGCGTTTGAAAACCAAAGGTTCTAGGTGCACAAATCGGACCTCTTTTAATCCAAGTAATTCAAAGGCTGCGAGTTCCAACAGATACCATTATGCCAAAGCCCATTTGTTTTGGCTTTTCCGCTTTGGTCGACTAAAGGTGTTTGCCCACGTCGCTCTGTCGTCGAAATTGGGCCAGCACCGCGCCAATATGGGAACACATTTTAAAGTAAAACTTCCCTCAGACTGAGTCAATATCGTGTCGCATATGGTGGCGCAGCCCCAGCCGCAGTGCACCTCTCTCAGGGAAGCTCTCTCCGGTGTTACTTAGCATATAAATTGTTCGCTCCAACAGCGATCAGAACGTTTCCAGCGATTAAATGAGATTTAAAGCTTATCTGACCTCGATTGAGCCGCCGTTGGAGAGAGAGAGAGAGAGAGAGAGAGAGAGGGGTTGATGCGACGAGGAAAGAGAGCAGCGTTGCTAGAAAGGCCGACTACAGCATTGACGGGCCCGTCCGGCTGCTCCACATCCGTGAGCATCACTTCTGCTGCCGCCACGCGTCGACAGATGGCGCCGCCGGACGCGGGGCTCAGCTCCAGCCCAGCAGGCGCCTCCGCGTCCGGCCTGTCAACAGCGCGGAGGCCGCCTCCACGACCGGCGTCGCCCCGGCCGCGGCCGACCCGACCCAGCGGGAGCCGCCGTGACCCTCCGACGGCCACCCCTCTCCAGCGACCGGAGCCACGTTCGCCCGCCCCAGCCGCCCCGCGCCAGCTCAACTTGGCCCATCAGCCGGCGGCGGACCATTGGGCGCGGCCTGCGCCGCCGGCGAAACTCCGTCAAAGGCCGGCCGTAAATCGCCCGATTATTGCCGGCCCCGTCGCGGCCGACGGCGCCGCGCCGCTGTCAACGGCGGCCGGATGGCGCGAGCGCCGCGCCGGGCGGCGGCGCAGCGGCGGAGGGCAGCGGCGCCGCCGGTAGCCGGGCCGAGCCCCTGCGTGGGCCGCGGCGCCACCGGGTCAGGGTCTCTCGTGACGCCAGGCGCCCGGTCGGTCGAGGTCGGGTCGGAGAGGGCCGTTCGAGGTGCACGCTCTGCGGTGTCGTGTACCGGACGGCATGTGCCTCGTGGCCCGCGGATCTGGAGCGGTGTACCTGGCTGAATCAGACTGCAGCCACAGACTCTTGTGCTGGGCCGCGACGAGCCCGGATCGGACCAGGGTGGGTCGAGCCAGACTCAGCCCGGGTCGGACCAGAGTGGGTTCGAGTCGGACCAGAGTGGGTTCGGGTCGGACCAGAGTGGACTCGGGTCGGACCAGCGCCAGCCAGCCCGGGCCGGACCAGAGTGGACTCGGGTCAGACCAGCGCCAGTCAGCCCGGGTCGGACCAGAGTGGGCCCGGATCTTACCATAGTGGGCCCGGGTCGGACCAGAGTGGACTCGGGTCGTACCAGAGTGGGTCCGGGTCGGACCAGAATGGGCCCGGGTCGTACCAGAGTGGGTCCGGACTGTAACAGAGCCGGATCGGCGCAGTTTCCGGCTGTTTGCCAGCGGTGGATGGATGCGGCCGGAGGGCCCGGCCGGCCCGGCGCCGGCCGCCGCCGCCGGCCGGGGCCAACGCGTAAATCCTCCGGTGCACCATTAGCGTCATATGTGAATTCAAATTGGAATTTATGGCGGCGGGGCGTCGGCCAGACTCGTCGCTCCTGGGCGCCTGGGACGGGTCAGGTCCTCCGCAGGGGCCTGGCCTGAGCGCGCACTGCCCCGGCGTCAGAAAACGCCCCGAGGCACGCTCGGCTTTGATGAGAGCGCTGTAAGGCTCCGATGTGGACGTCCGCTGTGGACGTCTTGCTAGGCTGCGGCAGTGGAGATTACTGGCTTACACTGGGTTGCGATTAATATTTCAAAAAACAAATTACACTGCGGTTGTGTTTAGACCACGTTTTGTTTTTCGAGACGCTGAAATAAAATCCGTCTTTGCACAGGGCTCGTTTTGCGTTCAGTCCTGTTTCCTTTTGCAGTCGAGCTATCACGACCAGGCATGAATAAATAACCACATAAATACAGGTCCGACACGTCGCACTCGACGTTTGACGCCGTGCTGGCATTTTGCGACGAAAACCCCCGTGCCGCGCAATGCGTAGACACGCCGACACCGCCAACTGTGTCCGCCCGCCATTTGTTTGTTTTATTTCCGGCGCTGTACAACGCTCATGGTTGTCTCGAAGGGTGGCGATTGCGGCCGCGTCGGCCGCCGCGGCGACGGCGGCGTCCGTGCTCGCGCTGTCGTGCCAGGCACCCTCGCAGCCGGCCCGCGGCCACTTGATTATAATGCCTGGTCAATAATTCAATAGGCCGGCCATGCTGAAATATTGATTCGCTCTAAAGTCGTCATAATCGGCGGCTGGTGTCGGAAGTTCAGCCCTTTGCCGGCCGCGCGATCAATACGGGCCGCGCGCCGGCCGCCGTAAAACTGGTGTCCACCGGTCATTACGGTGATGGACGGCGCGGTTGGCCCAGCAGACAACTCGAAGTTGCGTTGAAGGCGCGCCGCCCCGGCGCTCCCGCCGCCGCCCCCGGCGCTCCCGCCCTCCCTTCCTCCCGCTCTCTATGCGGGAATGTTGTAAGCGGCTTACGCCGGTTGCGGAGTGTGGCAGCGGCGGCGGCGGCGGCGGCGGCGGCGGCGCTGGTGGCTGACCTGCCTCAACTCCGGCCGGCTGTTGGGCGAGGTCCGGGTCCGGGCGGACGGCGCTGTGCGGACAGACTGCCGGCTGCAGACGAGCCGGCCACGGCGGCTGCCGGGTGGCCGGGCGGCGCCAGTGGAGGAGTCCCGGACCCGGTGGCGGAGGCTCCGCACCCGCCCCGACTGCCGCGGCGGTGTTCGGGTGCAGATTAGAGCTCGCGGGCCCGGTAAAGCGGCTGGGTCGCGGGGCGGCACCGGCTAATTTCACAGTGGCAGGTCGCGCTACCGCCGCATGGATCGGCGAGAAGGGCAACCAGTGGAACGGGCGGCTGTCGACGCCACCCGACGTGTTCCATTTTCTCGATCAATACCACCCTCACGACAGATCATCTCTATTCCTTTCTTTTCCGCTGCCAGTGCAGAAAATCTTCCATCCAGAGAGATGAATCGTGAAATTTTTCCGGATTTTTTATTAGAAATTCCAAATTTATGTGCCATCTCGCCGAGACCTCATCGTCTTTCGCACTCTGGGCTCCCATCCATTATGCTCTACAATGGAGAAACATTTATCAAAGTGACATAATCGTAATTCGATGGGGCTACCCTCTAATCAGTTGAGCCGTTGCAGGATTGCTCGGGTCGCCAGTGCGAGAATTCAAATG